AATGGCTTCCGTGGCCACTGGCCAGTGGCCACGGAACCGGGCCGCCATTAGAATTAGAGTTTGTAGTTGTAGAGGTATGGTGTTCCAGTGTTTGTCCTTAACCAGGGCAATGAAGTGGGAGTAAAATTGGAGAGTCAGGGACACTTACACCATTTCTTAATATGTGTGCCCAGTATATATGAGAAGATAAAAAATTTGACGGAGGGAGTAAAACATTATAACAAATAGATTTCATTAGGTGCCAGATGAATACAACATGGTTTTAAAAGGCGAAAAAGGCGGTCCGCCCTGAGGCGGTAAGGCGCTGAGGCGGTAGATTTTTGCCCCAGAGGCGTTCGCACCAGATGATTTCCGCGAGGCGTACACCTTGATTTATTGAGGCGGTTCGAGGCGGTAAGGCGCTGAGGCGGAAACGAGGCGTTCGCCTTGAAAAATAGTCCGTATAAGCCATATTCTGCCCTTTTGAATTTAAGTTATTGGGCCTTCAAATAGTTGGTCCCTTTGAAAAAGTTAGGCAGGAAGCACTACTTAAATATAAATAAATAAAAACTCTTAAAGTTCCAATTTTCCAATCGCACCCCTGCGTGGCTGTCCAGCTTCCGATTCTCTCTCTTTCGCCGTCTCTCTCTTTTGCTCTGGCTTCCGGTCGTTTCTCTCTGGTCGCGGCTTTCCCTGTGCAATTTGGCTTTCTATTCTCGTTTCTCTCTTAAGGTACGAATTTATGATTTCTTGAAGACTTGTTTTAACTTTTTTTTACTCTGGTAATTTTATTTTCCAAAATTCCAGCAACTTGAAGAATTTTAAGTTAGCCAATTTTAAGATTTTTCATTATTAAATTTTAAGATTTTTCATTGTTAAATTGTTTATATTCTAATTTATAATTACTTTAAATTTAATCTTTTACATATAGTTTGGTTTTACATCAACTTTTTTAGTGTTTTGGTTATCTTGAATCATGATTATCTTATTGCGTTTTTATTCTGCCCCCCTTTTTTGCTTTAAATGAAAACTTATGTATTACTTAATGACTTATTTGACATAATTATGGATTATGCATTTTGTTTACCTAAAAGTTGTTTTGTTTGTTATCTTTTATCAAGTTGATCTGAGGCTTACGCCTTGTTCTGCCTCGAGGCTTACGCCTTGAGGCATTTTCCTCTACCACCTCGAGGCTAGTTTTCGCCTTTTAAAACCTTGGAATACAAGATTACAAGGAGAGAAATAACAAGACACTAATATTGGAATTGCCTTTTTCCAATGTCATAGAAATCGCAAAAAGTGTGTCGAGTAAATATGTCAAGTGTGTCGATTACAAGACTAATTGTAATCATGTTGTCATCAAACCAGGGAAAGTATATGGTGTCATAGAAAGAGTATTTTAAAATGATGGGATGAAACCAACCTAGCAAGAACAACGTGACGCTTAACTGTTGCGAGAAACTCGCGAACTCCACCATTGTAGAAGTAAAGTGGGGGAAAAGCCAATCCTACCAAACAAATAGTGTCGCAAAGATATTAAGAAAATTGAATTGATTTATACAATTAGAAGAGAACCACATATCAAAGATAAGAAATAATAATAGTCATTGTCTTACCATGCAATTGAATAAAACTACAAAATTTATACTTTGGTCTTCTCTTTTATCATCATATATGCTTATATCACTTGGAGTCAGCTATGTGGCTTCTATTTTGAAGTCTGTTCAAACTTTTAATTAAACAATGGATTGAAGCTTTGCCCAAATTCTTCTAGTTCTTCTAATTTTGAGCATTGTTACAAAAGTATGATGATAGAGATACACCACAACAACAAAAATAACAACAAACACAATAAAATCCCCACAAAGGCTCTGTTCTTTTGCATTGGAATTGTTAACTACCAACTCCTTTCAACTCCTAATTTCTTCTAACGCTCATAATTTATTTTGACGCCTTCCAATTTTTTCCAACTCCTCCAACTTTTTTCCAACTCCTTTTGTTCACTACCAACTACTTTCAATTCCTTCCAAGTATGAATTGAAAATTATTTACGTGCATTTTACATATTGCTATTATTACAATTATTATTATTTATCAATTTGGGTTATGGTTGTGTGATGGGCAGTAGGGATATTTTATTATCAAGCTTTTAGGTTCATTGGTTGAGCATAGAACCATCGTATAATAAATTTTTCAAGGCCTAGCAATCCCAGCATTTGTTTAATTGAACTACTAAGCAATATGGGCAGGTCTGTTGCAAATATGGCTTGGCTATAGTGGTGGCACAGCCAGCTTCAAATTACAACGGCAAAGTATGGCGAATGCCATTATCCCCAGTCTCGATTGATATTTGACACACTGGCTTGTTTTATCCTTATATATCAAGCATCATGAGCAAACTAATAAATCTAATAGAAGATCAGGACAGGTAAATATGATGGGCAGTTGATCACAGACTCCCAGTAAGTGGATACCTAAAGCAATAAGGGAGTTTAATTAACAACACTACACAAAGCTAGATGTAATTATACTTTATCAATATAAAAACTGATTGCACACAATGGAGTATGGACAACCGAATTTTATGCCACTAATGCCTTCTAAAAATGCTGAGAAAATAAAATATGAATCTTTCCTACATAGAAGAATATGGGCTCGGTATCTAGTACCTGATGATAGAACTACAATTACATATTGCCAACCAAGTGTAGGTGTGTGCCTGCGGATTGATCTGACGCCTGAAAAGGGAACTGCCCTTATAGTGTAAAGATTTCTATCTGAAGCAAAAAAATGTTGAACAGAAAAGAACCATTATTCAACAATTGAATGAATTATATGCATGTATTTTGTGCATATTTTTTCACGTGCTTCACTGATATATATATATATATATATATATATATATATATATATATATATATAGCTTGACGTTATGAGACAAACCTTTTTCTGGTAACCTCGCACTTGAGCTCTGTCCTTTATAAGGAATCCATGTCTGCCACGATAGAAGTTCATAAATATTTCATAATTGTTCGAAAGCAAGTGTCAACAGAACACATTAAGTCAACAGCTACTACTACACAAAATAGTTTAGTATCCATCAATCGCTGCGAGTCAAGCTTTCCAGATTCCTGAATGCATTTCTCTGGCATAAGATCATAGCATATGCCATGCACTAGATTATGTACATATGTCCGTAGAAAAACAAAAAGAAGTTTTAAATCATTTAAACTATTCACTTATAATAACACAATGATGGAAAGTCCTGAGAAGAATAAAAAACTGAAACCAGATGCACAACATAAGCACACAATAAGTACATAAAAGATAGTATTTTTCATTGATATTAAAACTTCCAAATCCAATTAATAATTAGAATATCAACAACTAATAGAGAGTGCAATACTACCATGAATAGAGTGTTTCCTTGCTTAATCAGCTTCAATCTACCACTAATCCTCTCGGAGGCATACTGTGTGGGATGAATTGTCACATTATCCTTCAGGTACACTATTTCCACCCCATCTGGCTCACTTGATGTACTGTGTTTGCTATTGGTACTATCGTTGCGAGCCATAGTTGCTGAACCCTAACACAAGTAATGAAACATGAAAACAATCTTATTTACACACTGGACACCAACGAGCAACTAGAACTAAGTTACCGAAATCGACATTCAAAATTTTAAAATACAAATCAGACAAGAGGACAGCCCACAGCACGAGTACGTCTTCAATATTCAACAACTTCAAAGAGTCACAACAAAGTTTAACTATCAACAATGACAGATTTAGTTCAAGAGGGGCATTAATTCACTGTGAACCACGCTTCAATCCCCTTTAAGCAAAACTACCTCGGGGAACAACTAGAATATCTTGAAATGAAACCCAATTTGTTCTTCAAAAAGCATTCATTCAATTGAGAAAAAAGCTCGGTTCAATACCACCCATCCACGCTCAACAAAATCCGCCGCAAAGATGAATTATATTGATTAAATTAAAACAAAAAACCACATAAATGTCAAAAATGAAAGCATTCCTCACATCCAATTTCACATTTATTGCGCTCGAAACATAAACAAAGCATTATGTGTTCCCGCGAGTGTTTGTCTGGGTACTGTTAATAATAAGGAGTTTATAGCAACTGAGATGACATACCTGTTGCATAGAGGCGGCGTAATCGGCGTCGTCGGACAGATCGCCGAGCTCCGTTTCGTGCATCGCAGGTCAATAAACAGATGATTCCGCAAGTGATCTTTCAGGGAAGGAAGGAAAGAGGTGAGGAGAGAGCACTGTTCCCTTCGAGACGAAGAAAGAGAAGACGTGAGTGTTTGGGCCAAGCCAAGATGATGTGGAATGGGGCTATAGTTTTGCGTAATTTCTGCGGGGGCAACAATTAATTAACAATTGGCATCAATTTCATAAAAATGTTAGACACATTCAATGTTGAGATATACCACTACTCTTTCCTAGGGCTGGACACCGTACCGGTTCGGTACCGTCACCGGAAACGGTACCGCCGGTACCGAGCACCGTAACGGCAACCGGGACGGCGAAACGGTTCCGAGAACCGGCACCGGTACCGCCACATCCGGTCTCGGTTCCGGTGCCCCAAAATCGTTACCGGCACCGCCGGTAACGGTGCCGGT